TACGTAGGCACAAGATGGCGAAGTCTTGGCGAGCTACCTTCCCCCATAACCCTTCGTAGGCCGAACTACGTTGACTCTGATTTCTCATTCACTGATGAGAATACGTAGGCATAAAGTGCGACGCTTTGCCGAGTCATTTTTCTTTTCTTTTTCAGCCAGCCTTGATAGGTAGATAGAATAAAACCAACCCGTCCAAGTAAACCAAGCAAGCGTGGATCCCGTCGAGTACGACGGACGTGAGGGGTGCTAATACCTTCCCCTTGCGTAACCGACTCCCGAACCCAGACAATGGTTGCGATGACCTTGTCTTACCCTTTTTCGTCAGGTTTTTCCAATCGTTTCCTTTCCCGCTCTGAGGGATAAATAACGAAAGGTGGCGACTCTTCTGTCATGCCGGCACCTTATTTTCGCGCAAGCGACAACGACCTTTCAAATGTTCCAACATCGACCATCTCCTCTACTCCGATCGTAGTGATGAAAATATTAAATTGGTCCTTTCAGCTGAATTTACCATGGGCTCGAGAAGGAACTGCCTCGATATCAATCCTAAAGTTGAGATTTTTGGAGGTACACAAAGGGTGTCGCATATGAAACCTTGTTTTGCAGGCGATATACTTTTAACAAGGACATCAAATTTTGGTGATGTCAACTAATGTCTTATAATAATTCAAGCATAAATGGTTAAGAGAATAAATATGAAAACTTAAGCATTAGGGTTTGATGGACTTGATTATCTGATGATGACAATAAAATGGAATATAACTGAAGCCTTATCTCAAACTACTCCAACAAGTGTCTATAAAAGAGAGAGCATTTGGAAAGGTCTTGAAATATTAAGGACTCTTCTAAATTAGTAGTGAGTGAACCAATTGTAAAACATAAGTGTTTTGTCCTAAAAACACATGGCTAAAGTATCTTTAAAAATATCTTGAAGTTGTTCCATATGAATCAGAAGCTTCCAAAATAGGTATAGACAAAATTTTGACTTATCTAATCGATTAACACATTAGCCCAGTCAATTAGATCAGTTCAAAACTGAGTCCCAAGAAATTAGGGCATCTCCTTAATGATGTACACCGACTAGATATCACTTTCTTCCTTTAAACTTACAACCGATTATATTTCAAACTTTTAATCGATTGTAAACATGTGCCAATCGATTAGATTGTCATAAAATGCATTTATTTGAAGTTCCTTTTTGAACCAACCTCCAGCCTATAAATAGAGGTCTCTTCCCTCATATTATTTAATTTAGAATCGTGTTTTAACACAACTCGTTCTTCCTCTCTAAACTTTTTTGTTTAATTTCTCTCACTAAAATTATAGCTGAAGTGCTTAGGTGATAAAGTTCTTTTATGAGTGAGAATAAGTTGTAGTTTTGGAAGGAATGAATTGTAAAATTCACCAAGGATTTGATTTATACCTCAGATGTTTCCATCCTTTTAACATGGATTTCCATGCTCTGCTTCCTACGAATTTGTGAAAATCAACCATCATCGCCTTCCAATAATCATATTTTGTGCCATCTTTCATATCTCCATTTGAGTAAAATTTATCTTCCCTAGAGCTCACCCAACATGCTAGGATGTCTGCTCTGATGTTAATTGAAACTCTGTTCCTCATGGGACAGATGTCGAACTTGATGCTTCAACAACCAGTTCGGCAAGATACACTATAACCACTATAATAAGAAGTACTAGATGATGGATCATCAAATCAATAAAGAACACAATCAATTGTTTACCTATTTTGGTGAAAGTAAACCTACATCTGGGGAGTTGACTCCACAACCCAAGAAAGGAAATTCATTATTAGTAGCTTGGTAAAATTAGAATTAAAAGCAACAACAAACCCTATATTATTCAATGACTCTTCCTAACACTATCCAATGACTTTCTATTTAGAGCTTCCCCCTAAACGTGAGAACCTACTCACTTTCTTCTCTGCCACAAAACCAGTGACAGGGGCAAACAACCACTAAACCACAATGATCAACTTTAATCAAATAAGATAGATGGTGTTGAATATTACAATGCCAAATTACTGAAATATAGAGGTGTAGATAACAATGTTAAATTTACAACTCAACTAGATAAACCTTTTATGCCAAGTTACTGAAACGTAGAGGTTTATAAAACAATAACAAGGATTCTTGTAAACCCTAGCACTCTAAAATTTTCAATGTGAATTCTTGATTTCCAATGTAGGTTTGAGCTTCTTATATAGAAAAATAACTCTGGACTTTTCCCTTGTGGATCTGTAGTTATTTTCGTCCATAATCTTTACACGATCTATTAGATATTTGATTTGCTTCTTGGATATCTCCAACAAAAAGATATGATTTGGTTTGTTAAAAATTCAAATTTAAATCTCTTTTAAATCTGATTTGATTTTCACATCTGTCCAACAAATCATATAATCGTATTGCTAAACCAATAGCAATAAAACATAATTGAATCTTCTCAAAAGATTATGACTCGATTGCATTATTCCCCCTGTACTGAACAAAAGAGGTTGCACATGGCCACTCCTTATCGTAAGTAAACGCAAATTCCCACCCGATATGTGAGGAAAGTGGGAGATGATTCATCCTTGAAAATGGTTCAGATACAATACTCATAACAAGTGTAACAAATGAATTATGACAATATTAGTAACTACAAAATACCGTAAGCAAGATGCAACTTCATGTCATCTTCTCTGTCTTTCAAAGACAACCCTCACACAACTTCGAGTATAGGTAGATCAAACAGGCGGGCCCTAGTTTTACTTGTGCATTGAAGTCAAATAGTACTTAAGGTACACCACATCGACATAGGTTGCAGTTTTGTCCATAAACATGGACATGTCAATCAGGAACATGACGTAACACCTCAATGCATAATGTCGATGGTACTGAACCTGTACATCATCACCTTTGGCATCCAAGGCCCCATACAAATGGTCTTTATAAAGCTTTCCCCCAAAAATAATACCTATAGCATGAGCACCTCTAGTGTCAGCTGCCTCCTTGGCAGCCTTATTAGGGTCAGCACCCAAATGGGTGACCTTCATATCGACGAATTCATCTCGCTCATCCTCCCGTGGTTCATTAATCTCCCCCTGATGGGAAGATGCGGGAGGCATGTGACATCATCCAAGGTGATGGTCATCTAAGGTGGAAAAACAACGTCTCTGAATGCCACCTCTTAGCAAAAGTCGCTTGCATGTCATGGTTTATGTTCATGTAATAGGAAGAACATAAACTAGAAATACCAAAATAGCGACCAACAACAATGAACCAAGCAACAATGAGGTAATGATCAACATATTAATGAAGTAATGAGGTGTCAAATGAGCTTCCTAAGTAACTTTCTAAGGGACCACCAACAACAACTTCCTTCTGCGCTTCAGGGGCTTCAGGAACTTCATGTACTTGAGGATCTGCTACATCATATGCCTAAGAGAGTCGGCTATGAGAACTAGACGCTTGAGAACCTCGGGACTGTGAAGTAGATGCAATGTCAAACAAGTTATCAATAACTCATGATCCCCATTATGACCCTCTCATGTCGTACCAACACAATTTGGGACACACGCCCGAGCCTAAGTTTGGGATACACACATTGTTGTTTTCATCCATTGCCCTTACGTTAGAAACAGCATGTCAGGACAAATTCTACAAAATCAACCAATTTTTTGCATGAGTCCAATCCAGAGATATATCTCCGAAAACAATGCAGACAAAATCTGGAAATGCATCTCCAGACAAACCTGCTATTATCTCAGTCATGGCAGATAGGCCACTTATTCCCCAACAGTCCAAAAATAATTCAATATATGTTCTTATACCCTACCAAAATTGTTACTCTATTATCTAATGTATTTAAAACAACTAATGTAGCTTAAACAACTAACTACAAATCAAAACATAAATGGAGATGAAAATTTTTAAAAACCTATCAAATCAAATTGAATGTATTAGTAATGAGATGCTGGAAATGAGGAGTTAGAGCTCCTATGGTAGAATTTTGCTACAAAGAAAAGCTTGAATGGGACAGAGAGCTCAAAAGTTTGAGAGGAGGAAGAGAACAAAATTTTGTAGCAAAAAATAAACAAGAAGGAAGTGGAAATGTAGTCTGACGCAGGATATGAAACAAAAGTGCCCATAAATGCATCTCTGGATCACTCATTAACTTTTGAACAAATAGTGTTTATAAAGATGTATTTTCAAACACACTTTTTTATATATACGAAGATGCATCTCCAGAATAATTTTTAGCACAATAAAAATATCTCTTCAATTTGATTGATAAATAATTAAAATATGTGCGTCTGAAGATACATCTTTAAATTTTAAAAAAAATCTAACTATTTCATATTAGTGTTGAATAACTCAGAACAATCTCCTTACTTTAATTTCTAAATGTGATGAATTGATTAAATACGTCAGCCCCACTTACAAATATTCCAGACACAAAATGTTATAAAATGTGCAATATTATCAACAACAAAAAAATGTCCAATAATGTACTTGTAGACAAAGTTGAAAAAGAAAGGAAGATAGAAAAAACTCATACGCAAATAACAATTTGGGAAAGAATAGTCTGTTTTCAAAATACCACATATTCCAGTGAGATGGAGTGTCCCAATGGCATTGTTGAAATAGACATTACCAATTAGTGATTAAAAATAAATATTAGGTTGTCATAATCAAGTGATTTCTAACAAATGAGTCCAGAACTATTAGATTAAAGTCATAAATACAACATATCATATAAAAATGTCTAAGGTGCCAAGAATGAACCACCATAACTAATCTCACCAATCCAATCATTTTGTCAAACATAAACCCTCTTTTTCCCTTTCAACTTACCTTCCAACACTTTCATATCCTACCAAGAGTCACATGTATTATATTATAATAATATATTATATATCAATTTCATATACAAATCCTCTTCCACCCTTTTCCAAATTCATCTCTTCACCACCATTAATTGTTGCATCATATTGAAACAATGAACCTGGCTGAACATATTGCTTATGACACAATCATGGCGACTCTATCAATATCTCTTATAATTCTTGGCATCATCCTCTTCTTCGCTTGCAAGAAGAAACCAGTTGAATCAGAAGAAACACTTCCGGTGAAACACAGTGCTCGTGCATACCCTTTAACAGAAATTGATGCTGCCACAAATGGCTTCAACCATAGGAGAATCATTGGAAAAGGTAGTTTAGGAACCGTTTATGCAGGGAAACTAGAATCAGAAGAACTCGTAGCTGTGAAACGCATTCATCCCGTGCTTGTATTAAGCAACGCAGGGTTCGGTTTCTCATCGGTGATCAAATGGCTCTCTTTAGCTCATCACCCTAACGTTGTCCCCATAATAGGATTCTCAGAAGCACCAGGTAACAAATATAGAGTTTAATTATTATGCACCGACAGTGTTAAATTTTTTATCATTAGTCAGTATATCACAATCATTCACCTGAATTTTAAAACTATATATTTTTAATGATCTGACGGTTGTGACTATCTGATACCAGGAGAGAGAATTATAGTGATGGAGTTTGTTCGAACTGCGAATTTGGAATTTTACTTGCATGAGAATCATGATGGAGTTTCTTCTTCACTTTTGGATTGGAACAAGAGGTTTAAGATTGCAGCTGGAGTAGCTAAAGGGCTACAATATCTTCATGAAGTGGTAGCACCAAATATTATACATGGTTGTGTTAAGTCTTCTAATGTTCTTATTGATGTTAATTTTTGTGCTAGGGTTTCTGATTATGGACTCAATTTTTTAGGGTTAGTTGAAAAAAGAGGGTTAATGGGTTATGTGGATGATGAATATTGGAATGAAGGAATTAGGGGTGGAGGGGTTTGTAAGGAAAGTGATGTTTATGGGTTAGGGGTGATTTTGTTGGAGCTTTTGAGTGGGAGAGGGTGTGAGGGTGGATTATTGGTGAAATGGGCATTGCCTTTGATTAAGGATATGAGATATAGTGAAGTTTTGGATCCTAGGTTGATGATTCCTAGTGATATGAAAGCTATTGTTAGATTGGCAAAAGTTGCTTTAGCTTGTGTTGGGAATTCAAGGAAATGTAGGCCTTGTGTGGATCATGTGGCAACCATTTTGAATGATTTAGAGATGGAAGTTTGTTACTTATCAAATTAGCAATGGTCTTCAATTTTGTACAAAAACTTCTACTTTTAGGTCAAACTCAATTTTCATTAGAGTTTGTTTCAAACACTTTTTTTGATAGGAGGTTGGTTGGTTCACGTAATAGTTATAAATAATATTTATCTTTTATTTTGATCTATTGATTTAATTCTAAAAAAACTATCATTACTTAAAGGATGAATCAATAAATATTATAATTTTTTTAATGGCAATATAATATATAAGTAATGGATGAAAATATTATAGAATAGAATTAGAGAATTGTACTATAAAATCAATTGGGTAAGGAATGTTATTCTATATAAATCATAGAACTGATTCTAAGAATAGGCTACCAAAACTATAGTGTAAAGTCTCATTATTTTATTTATATTTATATATATAATTTTATTTAATAATTTTTTATTTATAAAAAATTTAAAATATATTATATACCAATTAAATAATAACATCTATTTAGAATATATAATAACATATATTGTTTGATTTATTAATTTAAAAATTACAATAATAAAACTAATTTTTATCATAGTATGAGACTTGATATCTATTTTTTAATTTTTTTTAATTATAATTTTTTAAATAATAAAAAGAATATTTAGATGAGTTAATTTTATTATTAATTAAAATAAAATATTAAATAAAATAAATTATAATAATTTAATCATCTAAAATATATTAATATAAAAAATATATATTTTTATTATATTAAAAATATTTAATTTTAAATTTTGCGTGAAACCTTAAAATGTGTTGGGTCGGATGTGATAAATCATTTGTAAATTCTTTTAATAAATATGAGATTTTGGTTTTTTTTCAATACATTTTTTAAGTAAGTATAATACTATTGAATTTTATGTGTAGATATAAACGGTAATGATCCGAATTAATAATAAAAAGATTTTATTTTAAAAAATATATATATTATTTTCTTCCACCTCTTTCACTGTTTTCCAATAATGAGATGTTCTTGGAGTGCTAAATAAATAATAAATAAAAGTATTTATACTATTTAAATGTTTAAATAATAACATGATTTATTATGGAATGAAGGAAAATTCTTTAAAGAAAAGTTGTACACTCATAGTCATAGAATAGCATTTTCATGGGAAATGGATCTTATCTCATAGCTGTAACAGGATGAGAAATCAGAGTATCATTTTGGAATTGAAAGGTGAAGTTGGAGCGGTGCCGTTGTCTTGGACGGTGAATGTTGATTTGTGGTTCCGTGTGCTGTTGGGATCTTTTCGATGATGAATTGAAAGTGACCTCATAGTTTTAATTTTCAAAAAACTCCAAAAGTTTCTATTATGCTTATGTGTATATATTAATTAGTCTTCTTTGCTTTATTTTTTAAATACACCTTGGGATAACGTAGTCATTTAGAGTGGTTGATTTTAAAAGATCAAATATATATTGATATTAAATATTTAGGGTCAGGGTCAGGCGTCAAACCATTAACAAGATCAGTTTTCTTTTTGTTTTTGTAATGAAATAATTTTAAGAAAATATTTTGTCACCAAAACAAAAACTTATTAATTAAATAGTAAAGTGAAAGAGCAATTATGAAAAAATATTTAAAATTCAAACTCATCAAACTTTTTTAGACAAAGATGACAAATAAAATAAACGATCTAAAATAATATAATAATTTATTAAAAGTGAAATTAAATTTTAATGTAAAAGAAGATAAAAGACAGAGACACATTAACTTGTTTATTTAATTTAATTCCATTAGACAGTTTATTTTAGAGAAGAGACAATTCTCCAGTTCACTATATTTCTGACTTGTAAAAGTGATAAAATAATTAAAATCACTTCAAAAGAATTATTCAGAGTTCAATCACACCAAAAAATTTGATGTGTGAGACAAAAAACAATCAGACAAATGACCTCAAACAATACAAATAATAATAGGCGAGAACACAATTTTATGGGAGAGAGCAGTTACTCGATTCACTATACTTTTAAAAGTTGTTACAAGATATTACAAATGTGTTTAAAAAAAATCTTTGGTGTTCCTACAAACCAAACCCTATTTTTATCCAAGTGTTTCTCAATCTATGCAACTATCAATATACGAATCACAAAATTCTACAGTGTTTAAAGTGTTTCCTAATTCCCTTAGATACTTCCAAAATTTTCCCTAAACCTTTGTCTCTCGAAGATTGCCACTAGAATTCTCAAACTTTTCTCTTGTCTGCAGGTGTAAAGTTGTGAAGGCTATGTTGACAAGAATGAAAGAGATACATATTTATAACTGTTGAAATCCAACATATCCATATTGAAAAAGCCCAAAACACATGAATAAAAAAACTCGAATTGCATACACACCAGTCTGAAGCTAACAGGATTATACTTGAGTGAATAGCACACTTAAAGATACAACAGAGTCGCCACCGAACTTTATTTAGTTCCAAAGGACAGGAAAAATATTGATAAAATCCAAAGGGAAGAGAAACGGATAAGGGGGTCGGTTATGCGAGAGGAATGGATTAGCACCTCAAACATCTGTCGTACTCGACGAGAACCATTTTGCTTACTTCTAGGCTTAGATGAGTTATCTATCTAAAGACTTATAGCTAAAAAGGAAAAGAAAAAAGAGAGAAAGAAAGTGCTCGCAGAGAATTGGGGCCCTCGTGTCTACGTATCCTCATAGTGCAATGAGGAATTCAAATCTTCGTAGTTCAAGGAACCAGAAAAGAGAAAGGAGAAGGTGGAGGAAGGTGGGTCTTCAAGATTTCGCAATCTCGTGCCTACGTATCCTCATAGTGCAATGAAGAAGTCAGAGCCTACGTAGTTCGGAGAACTAGGACGAAGATATAAAAGGAAAACAGTGATGGTGTCAAAACTAAGAGCAAAAGGAGGTAGCAAGATCCTACTGGGGAATGCAAAAGAATGGTGTCAAAACCAAGAAAGAAAGGTAAGAGTAAGACTCTGCTGAGGAGCGCATAAGAGAAATGGTAACTCCACTAAGGAGAAAATCAAGGAATGGTGTCGAAACCAGGAGAATAAAGGAACAAGAATCTAGGTAAAAGTAAGATCCACAGGGGATTCAGTATATTAACTGTCATACAGTGATTAATCAAAGAAAGATAAGAATAAGACTTTGTGGGGAAAGCAAAAGGTTAGTGTCAACAGACGGACTGTGATGAACTATAATGAGAGTACTGAACCAAGGGGAGGTGTTTAACTCTCTGGAGAACTAGGTGTGTTAACTAATAAACAGTGGTTAACCAAAAGGACGGGTGTGAAACCAAGCGAAGGTTGTGACCTAAAGGACGAATGTGGAACCAAGCGAAGATTGTGACCCAAAGGATGAGTGTGAAACCAAGCGAAGGTTGATACTCAAAGGATGGGTGTGGAACCAAACAAAGGTTGTGACCCAAAGGAGTTCGGTATACTGACTTAAAAAGCAGCACTTGACCGAGGAAAAGGGTACTCGAACCAAAATAAGATTACTAACCCAAAGGTGTGAGTGTCTGAACCAAAGAAAGGTTGCTAACTGCAGAGAATTTGGTTTTTAACAGGCGGACTGTGATTAACTAAAGGAACGAGTGGTGAACCAAGAGAAGGTGACTAACCCAAGAGAAGCTTAGTATATTAATGGAAGGACTACGGTTAATTGAGAAAAGGATGATTAACCAAGAGAAGGTGATTAAGCCAAGGAAGATTGGTATTAACAAGCGGATTGTGATTAACCAAAAGACAAGCAATTAACCAAGAGAAGGTAATTAGTCCTAAAGAAGGATTTATGACTTTGTTAGGGAAGAAAATAAATGCTTTTAACAAAAAAAACGGTTGATTAACCAAAGAAAGGGGTGATTATAAATCTTCTAGAGAATCAAAGAATAGTGATTGGCCACAAGAAAAAGGTCCTGAATCAAAAGGAGGAAGTTAAATCCAGGGACAACTGATCAAGGATCGACTCGACTGAGAATTAGAAAACACTACAGTAAGGAGATAGAGATGACTATTCTAGGCACAAGGTCATTCGGTATAGTGCGAAAACCCAAACCGACTAAGTAACGATGCAAACTTGTACAGTGCTCCAATGTGTTATGTAGACCTCCAATTCAGCAGAGGATCGAAAGAACACGACTCTAAAAGATCCTAAAGAGAAGAAAGAAGGAAGATCAACTAATCGAAACAAAGTTTTGATAAATCAATCACAAGGGAATGAATAAGCTAACAATCTTTCACACAAACGAAAGATCGTCAAAGCGAGCATGCAAAGTAATAATTATACAAAATTAAGTTCATTCAATGAAGAACAAACTTAATGCAATCAAGAAGAAATTGCAAGGCAACAACAAACATCTGTTACCATGCATCACAATCATGTTATAATATGAACACAAGTGTGCAAGAATGATCATGATCATACAATGTCAGAATTACAAACAATTACATAATCGATAAATCGAACATTAAAGTTTGCATTCATGCTTCAAACTAAGGCTAAACAGCTCATAGAAAAACCATAAATATCAAGCATATTTGTTATACCCCAAATTTGTCCTACCTGTTTCAAATTTTCATTTGTCTAACTCTATTTTCAATTTGCATCGCTTGTACAACATAACGTATTTTCCAGCATGAATAAATCCTAAAATGATTAGCCATAATAATTTTTCAGGCACTTTGTCGCCCGATCTTTGTTCATTTTCACCTGATTTATTTTTGTATTTTCATCAAAATGTCCAAAATAATTAATTAGAATCTTCCATGCTTGTATTTCATTTTTAGCATATTTATTTAATAAGTTGTGAATTTTTAGTGGTTTTTAATTGATTTAATTCTATTCAATTAATTAAAACTTCTAGAAAGGGAAATTTTGACATTTTTAATTAGGTGTGTTTCTTTGATTAAATGTGAATTTTTGGATTTAAATTTAATCAAGGGTGCACATGCATGATCCTTATTTTTTGCCATTAACCAATGCATTTTAGTATTTTATTGTACTTTGATTTAATGGATAAATAAAATCAGAA